GGCACGTTCTTCTCCCACCTATGCACTCATTTACCTAGACAGCTACTCCGACCGCGAGCACGGAATGGCGCTCGTCGACCAGCGCCCAGCAAGGGCGCCCGCGGCGACGGCAGGAGGGCCACCGAACCCCGACCGCAGCCGCCAGCCGAGACGCCTCGTGAGAGGAGCTCAAGAAGGAGGACCAGGAGGAACATCGGAGGCGCCCAACCAGCAGGCAGTCGACATCACCGCGCACCCCACCCAGACGCTGGCGCGCGAGCAGGCCGAGCTGGGCAGCCACCACATCGGCGATTGGACAGAGGTGGTGAACTACATGGGCCGCACCCTGGAGCCAGACGCGGAGCACGACCACTGGGAGAATTACTACCAGGACACCATCTCGAATGGCAACGCGGAGACGGTGACCGACAGCATCCTGATCACCAGGGTGCGCAAGGGCAAAGAGAGCGGAGCGAACGAGAAGCGCAGCAGGAACCCGCAACTGGAGCCCTTCCTCGTGCGGGTACTACGCAAAGAAGGAACGGTACGCAACATCGGATCGGCGCCGAGGGGAGTGCTGGAGCGGGTGATGAGGCGCCTGATCAACGGCTGAGAACCGTGCAGCTCTGTCCTGTGCTTGCCAGCACAATAGCACAGGCAATTCCGAAGGCGTTCAGAGGCAGCGAACGTTTTAGAATGTTGGTTCGGGAAGGCCGCCTCCCCCCTCCTCCTCCTCCGTCTGAGACTCCTGACCTTTTTCCGACTCCGAGGCCAGAGCTTTCCAGAGTAGTTTGTCGTGCGCCGACCTCCCCCGCCCCCCCCCGAACCGAAGCGAAAGGGTAGGGGCAGAGGAGGCCAGGGCAGGGGAGTAGAGGAGCAAGCGAGAGGGCATTCGTAAACGCGGGTGCTACCCTGCCCTCGGACCCCTGCGTGGGGCAGGTCGGTGCAGGTAGGGCCCGAGCGTCTCAGCTGACGCCAGCGACCCCCTTTTGGCAAAGTGATCTCAGCTAGGCCACCATATTTTGTAATGCCACGCAAGCCCGAGAGAGCGTAGAACCGAACTGGCCCGAGAGCTCGATCGATCCTCCTCCTCTTTCCGCCTCCTCCCGCCTCCTCCTCCTCCCGCCTCTCCTTCTCCTCCTCCCTCCTTCCTCCTCCTCCCTCCTTCCTCCTCCTCTTCCTCCTCCTCCTCCTCCCTCCCTCCCTCCTCCTCCTCCTCCTCCTCCTCCTCCTCCTCTTCCTCCTCCTCCTCCTCCCGCCTCCCCCACACCAGAAACCGCCAGGCCCCTCTGAACAAACCCTGCCCTCCAAGAACCCCCTCGCCTTCCTGGAGGGCTGGCCTCCTCGCGCCCCCCGCCCCCAGAGTTTGACAAACCCCGGCTGGCGCTGACAATCTCAGGATTAGGTCGGGCATATATATCCTCCTACAGGTGGATCTTGAGCGAAAAATCACACATAGGCAAACAATATTCAACATGGTCAAAGAACGATACACAAAACGTCCACAGAGTTTTTTGACTTTTTTCGAATATTCCTCCTGTAGAGTGACATGCCCGACTTAATCTTAGGAGTGCGCCCTCAGAAACTGGGGGGATCCGCAAGATCGGCTTCGAGAGAAGGTGATGTCTGCAACAGGTGTTGGGCAGGGGGCGCTTCAGGCCAGCAAGAGCCGCCGCGGCGGCTCGAAGGGCTCCCGTCGCCCGGGGTCTCGGCGGCTGCTTCGGGGCCGTCGCGCGGCACCTCTGCGGGAGGCGGGGGCCCAGACACGTGCTCGAGCAGCGCAAGAAGAGAACAGGAGGTACGCGCCGCATCGCCAATGCATCGGCGATGCATCGTCGACGCATCGCCGACGTCGGCGACGCATCGGCGACGTCGGCGTGGCGAAAATCGAGCTCCGCATCGAGCCGCATCGCCGATGCATCGGCCATGCGCCGCGACCCGCCGACCCCATCTCCCATCTGGGAGGCCCAGAGCCTTGGGGAGAGGGTCGGGACATCCGAGAGAGCATGATCCACCGTCGTTTTACTGTGGAAAATTCCCCCCCTTTTCCTCCAGAGCCCGGGCCCCCCCCCCCCCCCCCCTCCGATCCCCCCCCCCTGTCCCCCCCCCCCTCCCCCGGCAAACCTCCCCCCTCCCCTAACCCCCTCCCCCCCTGCCGGGGGGGGGGGTCACTACCGGTTCGACCCCCCCCCCCCCCCCCTTCTGGAAAACCGATCGGGGGATCACTACCGGTTCGAACCCCTCCCCCCCCCCTCCCCCCCTCAGAAAACCAGAGAGGGGTCACTACTGGTTCGAATCCCCACCCCCCTCCGGAAAACCGGGGGGGTTTCACTACCGGTTCGAACCCCCCTCGAAAACCGGGGGGGGTCACTACGGGTTCGACCCCCCCTCCTCGAAAACCGGGGGGGGTCACTACCGGTTCGAACCCACCCCCTCGAAAACCAGGGGGGGTCACTAAAGGTTCGAACCCCTCCCCCCCCCACGCTCACCGCCAGCACACAACTCTGGGTCCCTACCACCGTCCGCACCACATCCCCCACTGCTGTCGCACTGTCCCCACTGTCCCCACCACTGTTCCCACCACGGTTCCACTCTCCCCACTTTCTCCGCGGCCCCAGCCACTGTCCTACTGTCCCACCACTGTCCCACTGTCCCACTTGTCCCGCCGCTGTCCCACTGAAGATCCCACTGTTCCCACCACTGTCCCCACTGTCCCCGCCACTGTCCCTACTGTACCTCTGTCTCATTATCCCACTGCCGTCCTCGCCACCGCCCTCACCACTGTCGCCACCACCACTGTACCCTCCACCGTCCCACTGTTTCTACCACATTCCCACTGTCCCCACACCACTGTCCCCACCACTGTCCCACTGTCCCCACTGATCCCACCATTGTCCCCGCTGTCCTCACCAGTGCCCCCCACCAGTGTCTCACTGCCCCCACTTCTCCCACCATTGTCCTACCACGGTCCCACTCTCCCCACTTTCACAAGTCCCCACCACTGTCCCACTGTCCCCACTGTTCCCACCACTGTCCCACTGTCCCCACCGCTGTCCCGCTGTGCTGCCCCACTGTCCCCACTGTCCCCATCACTGTCCCACTGTCCCCACTGTCCCCACCACTCTCCCCACTGTACTACTGTCCCACCACTGTCCTCACCACCGCTTTCACCACTGTCCCCACCACTACCGTCCCCACCACTGTCCCACTGTCCCCACCACTGTCTCGCTGTCCCCTCACCACTGTCCCCACCACCACCGTCCCCACCACTGTCCGCACCACTGTCCGCACCACTGTCCCACTGTCCCCGCACCACTGTCCCCGCACCACTGTCCCCGCACCACTGTCCCCACCACTGTCCCAACATCCCCATTCTCCAACTGTCCCGAGGAGCGGGCATCGTTTGCCAGCGGCGAGGGGGGGGGGGTCGAACTGGTAGTGATCCCCCCCTTTTCATGATGGACTGGGGGGGGGTTCGAACCGGTAGTGACCCCCCCCGGTTTTCGAAGGGGGGGGGTTAGGAACCCCCAGTGACCCCCATCGGTTTTCTGCCAGCAGCGGTAGAACACGCTCTATCGGACATCCGGGGACCCCGTGTCAAAAAAAACGGCATGGGTCCATCACCCCCGCCTGGGGGATCGATCCACGGGAACCTCGGCGGGCGGCGGACTCAAACCTCCAACGAACTGAAATTTTCGCCGGCCCCTTGGGGTCTACTCGGCGCGTGACACTGCTGCCTCTCCCCAGACCCCTCCCCCGGGAGCCTGGCCCAGCCAAGAGGGGGGGCGGGTCGGGGCAAATGGCCAGCGGAAATTTGCTTCCGGACGGCCTTTGATAGCCTCGACGTGGGCCCAAGAGGCCCCGAGACGGCCCCAAATGGCTTCAAGGTGGCCCTAGATGACGCTTCAAAGATAGCGTCAAGACAGCCGGAGAAGCCGGCAAGACGCTCTCAGAGGGCCCCCAAAGGACCCCAAGAGGGCCTCGACCAACAAAACTCATTCCATCCCCTTTGGGAAACGACAATTTGCAGCATATTTGCTGTTTTGGTTCTAACAGCCTCCAAGACGGCCCAAGAGCACCTGGAGATCGCCCCAAGATAGCCCAAGAAGGCTCCGAGACGGCCAGAAGCAATCAAGAGGGCCAAACGACGGCCCCCAAAAAGCTCTAAGGGTGGCCCAGGAGGCCCCCAAGACGGCCCCAGACAAGCCACCCAAACGGCTTCCGCAAACGCCAGACGGTTCCAGAACGTCCGAAGACTGCCCAAGACGCCCCCAACAGGCCTCATAATGACCGCAAGAAGCCCCCAAGAGGCCCCAATGTGCCCCTAAGATGGCCCCGAGCGGCCCCCCAAATACTCCCAGGAACCCTCCACATACATGCCCAAGCCCTTCGCGCTCCGAACGTGCACCACGCGAAGCGAGAGGAATTCAGCTTCCCATGCTGACGAGGGCAACCAGAATGCCCACCTGTCGTCTCTCTTACCCCTGCCATTGCGGCCCTAGCTGCACTGGCGACGAGCGGGGCCGCTGGACGCGGAAGGATGAGGTCAGCGTTGTGCAGTTCAACGGGAACGTATGGGCTGGCCAGGAGGCTCTCCTGCGCGGCCTCGGCTCCGATGTCATCGCCGTCTGCGGGCAGGATGTCAAGGTGCAGGCGCACGATCAGGGCGGTGCGCGGGCGGCTACGGAGGCCGCAGGCTGGACATGCGAGCATTGCCCATGGGGTGCGCTCTGTGCCAGGGACGGACAAGCGGCTCGTCTCAGCGGGCGCGCAGGTGGCGGCTCGCCACCACGTGCGCTCAGAGTGGGTCGAGCCTTGGGCATGCGAGGACCTCAGTCCGCCGGGCCTCCCAGGGAGGATCGCCGCGCGCTGGCTCAACTTCTGCCAGGGGGTGGTCGTCGAGTCGGTCTACATGGTCACGAGCGCGGGGTGGAGCGAGGCGAATGCGCATTTGATGTAGCGCCTGGCTCGACCGTTGCGCACTGGAGGTGCCGTGGGTCGGCCTGGACGCCAACGTGGCCATGTACGACTTCAGGGAGTGCGAGGTGGTCGCGCGGCTGGGGGCCAGGCTGGTCGCTCCGTTGGGAGGCAAGTGCATGACGCGGGACGAGTGGTCCACGATCGACTACTTCCTGGTGGACCGCCGGCTGGAGGCTCAGGTCCTTGGCGTCGAGGTGATGAACAAGTGGTCGTCGCGCCCGCGCAAGCAACGGCGCTTGCGCCTCCACGCGAAGCCTGTGGTGTCCTGGATTCGGGAGCCAGTGGCGCCGACAACCCTCCCGATGGGCTGTCCTATTGGGTCTGAACGGAATCCTGTGGGCTGGCCCGCGCTGGAGGCGTCGCCGCTGTCGCAGAAGGACCTGGACGGCGTCCACGCACAGGTGATCACAGCGCTGGAGGTCCTGCAGCGCCACGACCTCGTCGGCGACGCCGGCGCGCGGTATCGGGGCCGTGGCGAGGCCCTGCGGTGGCGCACAGTGCCCCAATGGGCACCGCGCACATGGGGACATGCATCGCAGTCGCGGCACGCCTTCCATTTGCAGGCGCTCGAGGATCTCTTGAGGGAGTTGTTCCACCTCGCCAGGCGCGCAGAGGCGCGGCCCCTGGATGAGCCCCAGAGGCAGAGGCCAGGGTTGCTTCACGAGCGCCTCTTGCGGCGGGCCCGCTGGATCCACGCCGACATCGAGCGTGGCAGGATCTAAGTCGAATGGTGCCGCGAGCTGCGAGCCCACGGCCTCGAGACAGGCGAGGTCTCTCAGGTCGCCTTCGACTCGGCCAGCGACGAGAGAGGGCAGATCGACGCCGTGCGGACGGTCATCCAGGGCGCGGCAGGGCACGCCGGGCGCGGCGATCAGGCTGCGGCGAGGGCGCAGCTGCGGCAGCGCTTCGAGGAGGCCTCAATGGGCAATGGGCAATGCCGGCGGCCTGCATCCGATGACAAAGCAAATGCGGATGTGGCCAAGGGCAACGCTACGGCGGCCGAGCCCCGGGCCATGTGCGAGGCCGAGATGGCGAAGTGGAGCCATGTCTGCAGGCCCACTGCGAGGACGTGCATGGCGTGCCACGCACCTGGTTGGAGGGGGCTGCAGATGATGAGCCGCTGCCTGTGCTGGACGGGCCTGCCATGAGGAATGTGACAGGGCGCTTCAAGGAGCGCACGGGGCTGGGCGTCGAGAACTGGAACCCTCGCGTCCTCCGCCACAGCTCCGCGGCGGCCGTGGACGCCTTCGCCCAACTCCTCATGACGGTGGAGGCCTCCCCTCTGTGGCTGGCGCAGATCAACCTCCTCGTCGACTTCAGGATCCCGAAGGCCGCTGGCGGCCTCCGACCGATCGGCAAGATGCCGACGCTGGTCCGGCTGTCGTAGGCTGCTCGCTTTCCCCTGGTCTCGCAGTGGATGGCGCAAGCTAGCCGTCCCTATGACTGGGCGCGCCGTGGGGGCTCGGCGGAGCAGGCTGTGTGGAGACACCTTCTGGAAGAGGGGGCGCAGGACCTTCAGGGAGGCCCTGACTGCGACGCCGCAGCGACGGTGCTCCTGGATTTGGCGAAGTGCTTCGAATGGGTGCGGCTGAAGCATGTCTGGGCGCGGGGGCTGCGGCGGGGTTTTCCGAAGCGCGTCTTGCGCATAATGCTTGTGAGCTTCTCGGCGGCGCGCACGGTGGTACTAGGCGACTGCTACTCCAATCTGGTGTCGGTGATCTCTGCTATCGTGCCGGGCTCGAGATTCGCCATGGCGGCCGCCCACCTTCTCATGATCGAGCCTTGCGACATCACGCTCGCGAGGTGGCCCGTGGACTTGAGCAAATGCGCTGACGACCTCGCCCTCGCCCAGTGTGGTGGTGCGGCCGAGGACGCAGAAGGCATCGCAGAGGCTGTGACGTGGTTCGTGGGCTGCTTGCGCGACGAGCTCGATCTCGAGGTCAGCCTCTCGCAAGGCAACGAGCTTGGCAAGTCCGCGGCACTGGGCACATCGTGCTGGTTGGCGCGGGCGTTGCGCCTCCGCCTGCGGCGCCTGAGCATCCGCGTGGCGCGAGAGTCTCGGCACCTGTGCCTGGACAGGCTCGGCGAGACGACCGACGCGCAGCGTGGCCTCGGGCGGCGGCCCGGGCTGCGGCCTGTGCGGCGGGGACGCTTGAAGGCCATGGTCGACCGCTCCCGCCCGCTGAAGCGCGCCAAGGCTCAGGGGGCCGCAGTCTGGAAGGTGGCGAAGATTGGCCTCAAGCCGGCAGCCATCTACGGCCACAAAGCGCTGGCCCTCACCCCGCCCGAGGTCCAGCGGGCGCGGACGATGGTCGGCCAGGCGCTGCTGGGCAAGACGCGCCTCAAGAGCACGTCACTTCGGCTCGCATGCTTTGGCGAGGACCCAGGTCCCGAATGCCTCGCGGCGCCGATCAGTGGGCTGGGCAGGCAGGGGATGCTGGGGTCGCCCCGTCCATTATGCAGGCGGCATGGCGGAGGCAGCAGGTCGCGCTCCTCGGGGACGACGCCTGGAAGGGCCTGCGGGGCCCAGCCTCCTCCGTCATCCTGACAGCGAGGGAGATAGGCTGGACGTGGCCCGCTTGGGACACATTCATCACTAGGGAGGGCATCCACATCAACGTGCTGCAGGTGTGCCAGCGCGACGTCCTTGCGCAGGCGAATTGGGACGCGAAGCGCGAGCAGTGGGCGCGCTGGATCGCGGCCGATGGGGAGAGGGCCAGCCTGACTGCGATGCCTTTCATCGAGCCGTTGCGGAGTTTCTGCGATCAACATCGCAGGCACTGGGGTGCAGGCATGGCCTTCGCGTCGCAGGCCATCACCGGAGGCACTTGAACGCAGGCGCGCGCACATACCAGCGGCGCCGCCCCTGATCCCCACTGCCGCCTGTGCCTCCAGGCGTGCATGCGCGCCCTGGGCACGGCGCAGCACAGGCTCGGCGGGTGTCCAGGCTACTGGGTCCACCGCCAGGCCATGCCTGCCACCTGGCAGTATGCCATCGAGACGAGCCTCGACAGGCTGCGCTGGGATCGTGGCCTGACCGCCCACCCTGGGTGGAAGCGGCCCTTCACGCCACAAGTCGAGGTGGTTCGATCGACCGAGGCCGACGAGAGCATCCTCTTAGTTAACCAGGGAGGTCGCCACAGACGGCGCCCTGAAGGGGCGATGGCGCTGGCTGGGAAGAACGGGGCGGGGTGCGCAGCAGGTGCCGCTGACCGAGTAGGCTAGCGCAGCCTCCCCCGCCCTCTGGGGACCGCTCCCCTTGCAGTTGCCGGTTCAGCGCAACATCGACAGGGCCGAATTGCATGCCGTGGCCGTCGTCCTCGACCACGCGATGCCGCCGCTGCGTGTGCATGTCGATCGGCAGTCGGTGCTCGACGGCATCACCGCAGCCAGCCAGTGGTGCACGTGCGCTGCCTGTCCGAACGCAGACGTTTGGTGACGCATCTTGTTCAAGCTTGAGGACATCGGCCTCGGGCCCAACGGCATCGAGTTCGGCAAAGTGAAGGCCCACCGCACGGACGCTCAGCTGCAGGGCGCGTCAGCTGCGGAGCGTCTGGTGGCCATGGCCAATCGCGGGGCTGACGCCTGGGCCGGCGAAGGCGCAGCCGGCGGAGGCAACGAGTGGCTGGCCTACGTCCAGCAGGCCTGGAAGGAGACGGCCGCCCAGGTCCGCTTCGCCTTGAACTTCCAAGCCGAGCTCGCAGAGCGCGTTTTCAGCACTGAGGACGACTGGCCAGACATGCAGCCGCCGCCGCCGCGAGGCTCGCAGGCCCCGCGCATCGGCCTGCAGCTGGTCGCGGAGTAGGGTCGCCGCCACGAGCCTTCGAGGAGGGCCGAGGGGGGCTGGGCATGCCAACGCTGCGGCAAGCGCGGCGCGAGTCGCCAGGCCCTCATCCACGAGCGGCGTGAGGGGGGCACGCCGCAGTACGCCTGCCAGTGAGGATGGAGCTACGGGTAGTCACGGCGCATGGCCATCGCCTCTGGCGCACGGGCACCTGGGTCTGGTGTGCGCGCTGCGGCTGGTACGCCAAGACGAGGCTCACGGGCATGCAACGCCCGTGCCCAAGCCATATGTCGAAGGATTGGTACATATCCAGTCTGCGTGCCGGCCGCGCGCCGAGGGCGCGTTGCAGTGACCCGCCAATTTGGGCCGCCGCGCCAATCACTCTACAGGGGTGGGAGGAATGGGGCACTGGGGATATCCGAACGTAGGCGACGGCGCCCGCTCGGCAAGAACGCGGCGGGGAGCCCGCTCTCGTGGCCAGGCCGGGTCGATCGTATGGCGACGCCCTGTTTTTAATATGCTGTGAGGCCTCCTCCTCCTCCTCCTCCTCCTCCTCCTCCTCCTCCTCCTCCCTCATCCTCCTCCTCCTCCTCCCTCCTCCTCCTTCTCCTCCTCCCCATCCTCCTTCATCCTCCTCATCCACCTCTGGAGACGGACACATGTGCTGTCGGCAAACAAGGAAACGCCCGCAGAAGCCCTCCGCATAGCTTCCCAAAGGCCTCCAAAGAACACGCGAAAAGGCACCTCACGAACCACCCAGGGACAATCTGGGCCCCTGCGCGCGGCAACATCGTAAAATCAGCACGGTCAATACTAACGTTAAGCTGTGACTGGGAAGGGGCAACAACGGAAGCACATTGAAGAGCAGCAGACGCGAACGCTGGTGGCCGCCACGAAGCTAATCTAAGCCTATGGCTCCGCCTGCCCGTGGGGGTTAATGGTGGGACGCGCCGCTCCATGGCGTTAGTGAAGAAAGCTCGGGAAGCCAAAATACCCCAAGAGGTCGGCGGTGTGGCGTAAACCTTGGAAAACACGTCTGGAACTGATGTGTTGCTGGAGACAGGTCGCGGAGCGGAAACCCTAATGTAACATATCCCGTGCACACAGATATTGCATATGTGCTGCATGTTGTTATGTTTTTTTCTCACACCATGCTTGTACTTTGGCGTTCTTACGCAAAGTTAGCGGAAATGGGCCTGCGAGTCGGCCAGGCAACTATGTCGTCACCGTCGCCACCCCGTCGCCACCCGTCGTCTGGGCCTGCGGGTCGGTTTGGCGGCTGTGTCGTCGCCGTCGCCGACTCGTCGCCGCCTCGTCGCCGCTTGTTGTGTGGGCCTGCGGGTTGTCCTGGCGGCTATGGCCTCACCGTCGCCGCCCCGTCGCCGTCCCGTCGCCGCCTCGTCGCCGCTTCGTCGCCGCCCGTCGTCTGGGCCTGCGGGTCGGTCCAACGTAGATTGCACCACATCGGTGGCACCACATACATTGTCCCACGCGAATTGTGCAATGCGTGCATATATACATATATGTGTAGATCCAAACGTATATGTATATGTGTATCTGTATATATATATATATATATATATATATATATATGCTACTCTCACCTGTTTTTGTGCACTCCGCCAGGGAGCTTGTCAGGCCAGGACCTCTGGGGGCTACTCAGGGGTTAACCCAGGAGTTGGGAGAGGTCCCGTCCCATCAGCGGCCACCAAGGGCCTCCCAACCCGCCTGGCACAGCCGTGGCGCTTAAGCACCCGCGCTGCGTCCCAGACGCGCTGGGCCCTTGCCCCGCCGGGAGGTTAAACGTCACCAGCCCCTGACCCCCTAGCTCTCGTCCTGGCAAAAACTCGCGCGGAGGCAGGCACGGCCACGCGCGAGACGGTAGCAATGCTGCCCCCTGTCTGTGGGTGGGCCAACACAGCTACGGAAGATGGATGAAACTCACGCTATCCATCAACGGCGTCGCGCACGCTCAGGTGGACTCCGCATAGGTTTCCTTGGAAGGTTCATATATGCTACTCTCACCTGTTTTTGTGCACTCCGCCAGGGAGCTTGTCAGGCCAGGACCTCTGGGGGCTACTCAGGGGTTAACCCAGGAGTTGGGAGAGGTCCCGTCCCATCAGCGTCCACCAAGGGCCTCCCAACCCGCCTGGCACAGCCGTGGCGCTTAAGCACCCGCGCTGCGTCCCAGACGCGCTGGGCCCTTGCCCCGCCGGGAGGTTAAACGTCACCAACCCCTGACCCCCTAGCTCTCTCCACGGTCCCTACCCTGGCAAAAGCCGCTCCTTCTGGCTACTTATGCCCTCCACCTTGGTGTAATGACATGAGGGAAGAAAGGTGGAGGATGGGCGGGACAAACAGACAGGCAGCTCAAAGCAAGAACAGTCCATCTCGCCTCTGCTCGCAGGCATGTGCGAGCAGGTTGCAGCGCCTCCGCTGCGCGGGCGAGAGATTTAATTCAGTGGCTTCGGCGACGGCATCATGGACGTAAAAGCGGGCCGTGCGCGCCGATGCCATCTGCCTCGGAGCAGCGTCTGCTCATGGAGCTGTGGCTGCGGAAGTCGGCGGAGGCGCCTCCTGACGCCAGCTGTAAAGAGTGAGCTTGGCATCTTGCAGCTCCAGCAGCTCACGTACGCGGCCGAAAGTTGCATGAAACTGCTTGGCTCCATCTCGAGGCACCAGTCTTGTCCGTGCGCCTGAGCCTTTGCTCTGGCAAGGAGGGTGACCGCTACACCGCTCCGCACGAGCACGCACTGACGGGCACCAGTCTAATGCTGGCTCTTGGTGCTGCACAGCTGCAGCACGGTCATTTGGCGGACTGGATACAGCTGTACATCAGACCACGCGAGCGAGGTCAACTCCCTTGCCGGAGGTAAGCGTCGTAGCCTGCTGCCAGCACCGCCGCAGCGCCACGCTGGCCCACGGCCGCCAATGCACCTGCGAACGCTGCTGTAGGACTGATCGGCAGCGCGCGCCTAGCTGACTCCAGGCGTTGCCGTTTGGCCAGCGCCAGCTGTCCCACAGGTGCCCTCGCACGGGCGGGAAAGCGTGCATGATGCCTGGAATTGCATTATTAAGTTCAACTAGAGATTCTCCGCTCAGCCAACGGCTCCCGATGAAGGCGGCCACGCCAGCGTCGACCTGAGCGGGCGTCTGCGGCTGCCCGTGCTCCTGAATCCAGAAAACAACGACCTCCTCGACCGCCGCACGATGCCGCCGCAGGGTGAGCGGCGTGTCCAACGCCCCCTCGGCGGCTGGGACCTCGCTGCCGCTCGTTGCGCCATCGCCTGGGCCGTGACCCGGCTCACCTTTGCTGGTGCTTGCGCTGCCCGCTTGCCAGGGGCGGCTCTCCTGGCTCTCGCCGGCGGCAGCACTGGCAGCGGGGCAGCGGCGGCCGAAGCCCCAGCGGGGCGGCGTGTCGGCGGGCATGTCGACGGTGTCGCAGTACTTGTACAGCGGGTACCTGGCCGTCGCGTGGAGCAGGGAGTTGAGCTGGCGGAGCGCGGGCTGCAAAGCCCTCACGCTCGATCTGCCCCTGGTGCTGACTGCCGTGAACGGTTGGGCATCCAGAAAGGGCAGGCAGCGCCAGCGGTGGCTCTCACCTGCTCGGCACCTCCAACGTGCTCCAGCCACCGCTGCCTCCAGCTCCAGCGCTGAGATGTGCCCGGGCCGCTGCCAGCGCAAGCCTGGCTGCTGGAACTCGGGGAACACGTTCCAGCTCGCCTCAGGCACGGGCAGTTGGCCCCGCTGACGCCTCGCGTCCCAGATGAGGCTGCCGTCCCCGTAGTTGTCGACCTGGTAACGGTAGCTGTCGGCAGCCCAGCGCCCCGCGGCCAGCACCGAGGCGCAGTCGGGGCCCACGGGCCGGAACGGCGGGTGGCGTCCCGGGATCGGCCTCGTGAAACACGGGAGGTCCGCCTCTGGGTCCAGCGTCGACCAGCCCTCCAAGACCAAGGTATTCAGTGGGAGCCTCTCTACCACAAGCAAAACCTCGAAGCTCGCGGCCTCCCTCACGCCCTTGGTCTCGTCAGTGACGTCGAACGCCGTGAACGCCGTGACGGGCCACGAGCACCAGTACAGGCGCGGCCGCTTGACGTGGGCGTGACACCTGGGCCCGAGGAACACGGGCGTGACACCCAGCGCCCTGGAGAACTCCGCCCTCGACTCCAGGGTCATGCTGGACACGTTCTCGACAAACACCACGGAGCGCTCAGGACAGGCAACCTCCGCTGCCTGCGTCAGCTCGGGGACCGTGAAGAAGAGCTTCGGCCTCGACCCCTCTAGGTCGGTCCCCGCGACATTGATGCTTGCAAGATCTTGGCTCGGGCTTCCCGCGCTCAAGACGACCCGGTCGGCGTCCCGCGCGTAACCCTTCAGCATCTCCGTGAACCGCACCGTGTCGACGGCCTCGACGTTGCCAAGCTTGGTCACGCCCGCCAAACGGCGACGCACCAGTCGCCAGGCAGCGGGCTCAACCTCGCAGCTGACGGGGGCGATCATGTCGATCGGGAGTCTGGAGGCCTCCACCGCGGCCCCAGCACCGCCTGCGTAGAGCTCGATGAGAACGAAGCGAGGGCGCCACCGCGCACCACGCACAGGAGCCGCAACTGCACCAGGCCGCAAAGTCACTGCTGAAGCTCCTCCCCTCGCGCAGGCAACGCCCTGCGCCGAGAGCCCAGCCGTGTGGCAGATGTCCCCAGCGCGCTCACTGGCATCGGTCGCGATGTCACAAATGACGATCTTTGCCCGCAGGTCGGTGTATGCCAGCGGCAGCGCCTTCGCGAAGCCCAAGAGCTCGTCGCACATTCCAAGGGGATCAGCCTGCGGTCGCGTCCAGCACCCAGCAGCCCCCACGCTGTTGAGGAACCCCATAGACGGCCTCCTGAACTCCGCTGCCCTGACGCACCTGCCCTGGACCATGAGCATGCCCTGCGTCGAGAGGCCCTGTCTGCCCATGCCGCACAGGATGAGCGCGAGCGTCCGGTGCAGCTTCTCGGCCGTGACTCCGACCTGGCCGACGGCCCCGTCAAGACCTGCACCCATCTGCACCAGGACCAGCGCGCGGCGCTTGACCTTGCCGGGGGCGTCGCTGGTCCCCGAGCCGCCCTCTGCTTCTCCGGGGCGCAGCTCACCGTGCCGATGAGCTCCGCGACCAACGCGCTGGGCACCCCCTCGCCATGGTCCCAGTCGTCGATGCAGTACTGGACCCACTGCTGCTCGAGCTCCTTCGACTTGATCGGATGTTGGTGGTCCCTGTGCCACTCGAGATCCGCAGGAAACCCTGAAGCGAGGGGGCGACCGCCGCCCCCGAGGCGCCTGTGGCAGTGCTGAAACTCCGAGTCCGCTATGATCCAGCCCAACGGGAAGACGAGCAGCGCGAGGTGTGTCGTCCCTGGACCCGGCACACCGATGAGCTCGTTTGGGATCGCCTCTGCGAGGGCCATGTGTGGCTGCCAAGCCTCGGGCAGCTCGCAGCCGTAGAAAGCGGAGGCCAGGTCATCTGAGGACCCGAGCAGCATGTGCCCCTCTGGGAGCGGGACGGCGACCCCCGAGGGCGATGCACTTAGGGTCCCAATGCCGTCCTCGATGACGCGCTGGTAGCTGTCGGCCGAGACCATGTTGATGATCAGGCGCTGGACGCACGCCTGGCCGGGTGACCGCGTGCCGCCCTGGGCGACCCTGAACGCCCCAGCGAGCACCCTGCGGCTCCCGACCTTGAGGATGCGGTCGTCGGCGATCGGCGCAGCCAGCCCCAGCTTGACAAGCTTGGTCCCGATGCGGTACCACTCCTGCTTGGACGCGACCTGGATCGCCGCTTGCGGGACCTCGGCAGGCGACTCATCCCGAGGGAGCAACGCCAGCGTGGGGCCGGCACGCCCGGCGCCCGCCTGAGCGTCCGCGAGGTCGACCGCCTTGACCGATGCGGGGTCGCCCTGCGCGGGGAGGCCTGGCATGTTGCCTGCAAGCGAGAGCGGCGGGGCGCGGGACATCACCTTGCCCCCGTGGGAGACGGTCTTCGACGCGATGACCTGGTCCCAGTCCGGGAGCTCGAACGCTGCGGCAGGATCCTGAACGAAGTTCGCACACCCCTCCTGCACAATGCCGAGCGCACTGACCAGACCTGCCGTGGGCCGCACTGCGGCGTCGGTTGGACACCGCATGTGCCCCATGTACGAGTAGTTCAGGCTGAAGTCCACGAGCAGGGCCCGCACCTGCGCCGTCGCGGCGTCCACCTCGCATGTCTCCGACAACTGCTGGTGCAAGTACCAGGCGGCACGGTGCCTCTCGAAGAGTGGGGCGTCGGGCAACGGTAACGGCAACACCTCGCGCAGCCGCGCGAAGCTGGCCGTGGGGTCTGGCGAAGTGCACATCTCACAACCATACCGCCCGATCGCCCCTGGCAAACCGTGCACCGCCTCGTGGACCGCGAGAGGGAGCCTGAACTTGGAGCTGACACCTGTGCCCACCTCGGCTGGCATCTGGCGCCACCGCCGCGGCTGCGAGCTGCCGCGCAGCTGCCGCTCAGGCGGGCGGAGGGCAGGCGGGGGCGTGCGCGAGGCCGCGGCCTCCGCAGCGTCGGTCCTCACGCCTGAACCCGGGCTGTCCTGCGAGCAGCGCTTGTGCCGCGGCTCTTCCCCGTCTTGCCTTCGCCGCGGCTCTTGGCAGCCGGCGGCCTCCCCATGCGCGCCTTCCACGCCGCCTGGGTCTCGCCCTCGCGCCTCGGGTGGGCCGCCTTGTGCTGCGTGAAGCCCCGGCCCGTAGCCGCGTCCGCTGGTGGCACGCGGGCGGCGGCAGCTGCGTCGAGGTCCCCCTCGAAGTCGCTCAGGAGCTGGTCCGACCGCGTGGGACTGCAGCTGGTCCTCCGCGCTGCTGGCGGCTTCTTCCCGGCGCGGAGAGCTGCGGGAACGTCGCCTGGGACTCGTTCGGCAAGGATCCTCATCGCCTTGGCCGATCCTGAAACTGGCGCCCCGGGAGCAGAGGGGCGGGCGGCGCGCCTCCGCGCGCCCATGGCCTGCAGGTGCCGTCCTCCCCAGCAACGGAGGCGGCTCCCGGCCAGGCCCCCAGCCCGGCCTGCGGTCTGCAAGTCGCTGGCGGAGTTCGGCGACCTTCAGCTCCCGGGCCTCGACCTTCTCGGCAGCGTTCTCCTCGCCCAGCGAGGTGCCTGACGGAAGCTGTTCCTGCGAGTCCAGCGTGAGCCATCGCGCCGATTGCCAGTTCCCGTCGCGGATGCCCATCGACCGCGCCTTGAACCTCAGCATGACCAGATCCGCAGTCTTGATGACCTCCCTGCGCACGATGCCGTCGAGCGCCAGCCCTGGCGGGCGGAGGACCCGCCCCTCGGCTGCCCACAGCGCCCGCGGCGGGTGAGCAACGAAGAGCACCGTGTACAGGAACTGTGTGACACCTGGGGCCAGCAGGTCGGCCTCGCCTGCGGACAACTGCTGAGTGAACTGGCTGCACAGGTGGCCAAGCCCATTCACGAGGAGAGCGTCGGGCCGCTGTCGAGCGATCCAGCCGAACAAGTCGCGCTTGCAGCTCACGCCCTGGTAGTGGTCGCAGCCCCCAAGGCGCTCTGTGCCGCTCTCCACGCCGTCCTCCACGTCGTCGTCGTCGCGGTCCAGGAGTGCCGTGGTCACGGCCGATGCTGGCCTGCTCCTCCTCCTCGAGGCGCCAGTGCGCGCTGGGGCAGCAGCGGCGGCTCGGTCAGCAACCTCCTGTGCCAGGCGCTCGCCTATGGCTCCTGCCGGGCGCGCAGCGTTCTTGGGCGTGCCCTGCCTCGGCACATCACGAGCTGCCCTGCCCTCCAGCCGCGCCAGCCGCGCCTCGAGCGCGGGGTCCTCGGCGGTCTCCTCGAGCCCGGCGATCTCCTGGTCGAGCGGGCCCGCCTCTCCTGGACCGCCCGGGGTCTGGGTGCCCTTCACCTCGCGGGCGCACATGTGCGGGGGCCCGCGAGGCTTCTCCTCGACTTTGTTGCCCCATCCCCGAGCGGCCAGCCGCCGAGCTCTCCAGGCAATGGCTCGGCCGCGGGCGAGGCGGTCCGCACAGGCGCCCCAGGAACCGCTGCCAGGCAGATGAGCTTCGCCCGCTCGCGGGCCACGCCGCTGTGGCCCATCACCTGCCACATGTCCAAGTGCTCGACCACAGCACCAGCTGGAGCGACCGTCCCGCACTTGTTGGCGCTGCACCTGCAGAGGTGGAAGACCGTGGCCGCGCGATGTGCGCCCCGCTGCCCGCAGGAGGCTGCCTACCATGAGAAGTACGTGTCGCTGGCGCCCACCTGCCGGGCCTTGATGAATCTGCCGATGGTGTCCGCCTGGTAGGCGACCTCGACCTCGAGCATCTCGACGCCCTGCGGCGCCGCTGGGTCGTCCTAGACCCGCGCCAGGACCCGTGCTCCAGCCTTCGGCGGCAGCCCCGCCACCAGCTCGCCGTTCAGCGCCGCGTCGAGCCAGGCTCCACTCGAAGAGGGCCAGCCGCCGGCAGCTGGGGGTGCCCGCTCCATCGGGCTCCTCGCCAGCAACTAAGCGGGAGAGGGGCGACCCGCGCCCGGGATCCTCGTCTCCCAGCCAGGTCTTCGCTCCCCTCAACCCGCCAAGGCTGCCAGCGAGGCTGATCAGAATCAGTCGTCGGAGCGTGGCCCTGCAAGCGGCCGCGCGAGCGCGGCAGTCTTACAGTAGTCAGAGTGGCTCGGCAGCGGCCACAGACGGGCGGCACCGCCCGGTGACTCCGCTGCCTGTCTCAAACCAACACAGCTACGGAAGATGGATGAAACTCACGCTATCCATCAACGGCGTCGCGCACGCTCAGGTGGACTCCGCATAGGTTTCCTTGGAAGGTTCATATATGTATTCCTCCAGACAGTCCCGATGCTCTACGCAGTGAGGGGAGTAGTGGGAGGAGCGGGCGTACTTTATGGCGGACGCTTGGGATGAGTCTGTCTGGACCCACGCCCCCCTTGTCGGGGGGCCAGGTCCCACTGCCGAAAATAGGGTGGGTGGGTGGAAAAAAGGGGCTGCGCAGCCAAACAGCTGCGGGAAGAAGGTGAAAGGAGAGAGAGAGAGAGAGAGAGAGAGAGCGGCAGGGGAGGAATTACCCCGTTGAAAGGGTAAGCCCCCCTAGCTGAGACAAATCCCTGCAGACAGCCCCGATGCTCTACGCAGGGAGGCGAGTAGCGGGAGGAGCGGGCGTATTTTATGGCGGACGCTCGGCATGAGTCCTCTGGACCCACGCCCCTCATTCCCCAAGCGGACGCCGTCGCGCCCCTCCGCCACTCGCGCGACCCCCCGCAGTCCCTTCACCGCGGGTGGGCGTCGCCCCCCCGACCTGTGTGGGTTACTGCCCCGCAGTCCACCCACCCTGCAAAGAAAGATGCAGCCGTCCCTGGTACAGCTGCGCTAGCGCGGTCGCCCTCCCCCAGGGCCCGGGGCCCGTGGAATGGGCGCCCTTCCCTGGCCGGGGTGGGCGCAGACAGACGGGCCGAGGTTAGCGGGGGACCGCCCCTAGTGGGCCACCCACTCGGCATCTAGCGCGGGGGAAAAAAAACGCGGGGGGCGGGAGCTCCACCCCACCCTCGGGTCGTCGACCCCGGCCCCGCCCGCGCTCCCCCCAGGGCGCACGGGGGTGGCGCTGTTCGCGCTCCCCCGGCGCGCCTGCCGTGAACTGCGCCCTCCCTTCCGAGGTGCTTTCCTTTAATCCCCTGCCTCTGGGTCGAGCTCCCCGCCATGAGCTGATGGCCCTGAGCTGACATCGCCTCCGCCAGACCTCTCGATCTGGGGCTCGCGTGCTTCCCGCTGGTGCGCGTGGAGCGCGCCAGACTTCCACCTCCCAAATCGCTTGAGCCTTTCCAGGTCTGGCACTGCGTGGCGCGTGGCCGTTGCGCCCCCAATGCGGAGGGCGTGGCTTCCACCCCCGCTGCTCGGGCTGCCCTCCCGAGAAGGTCCGCAATGGCCTTCCTTCCGAGGGGCTTGCCTTCCTCATCCCGGAACAGGGGAAAGCCCCCCTCCTATGCCCACCTCTGCAGGGCCAGTTGCTCCAGCCTCGCGGGGCAGAGGTCGTTCCCCGTCCGGTAGCGGTTTCGACATCAGCCGAAGTTGTACTGGTCGGTCTTGCTGCCCTTAATGTAGACGACCACCTCGTCCGCGGCCTCGAACGAGGGACAGGCGGCTCCCTCCCGGCAGGGGTGGGCGTCCCGTCCGAGGAGAACTCGTTGTGGATTGGGGTCTTCCCAGCCCGTTCCACCCGGTGTCCCCGCGCCCATCTCGGGGGCGCCGACCGCGGGTGGACCGAGCCCGTCCCGCGCCGCGATCGACGCGAGGATCGGGGCCATGATGCCCGCCAGAAGGGCGGCCATTGGAGAGGGTTTTTTTATGTTCGGGGATGACGGGCGTCATGGGGGGGGGGGGGCGGGGGGGGGGTTAGACGTAACGCCCCCCCCCCGCCGTGTGGCTCCCGCACCACAGCCGCGCCCGCGCGCACGACGCGACGAGCGACAAGCGACGACGACGACGACGACGACGACGCGAGCAGCATGTAGGTGGCGATCGATCTGCCCCCCTGCGCCTGTGTACACCACGACGCTCGCGTGCACCATAACGCGCGTGTACACCACAGCGCCTGCGTACATCGCAACAACCGTGTGCAACGCATCGCCTGTGTACACTGCAGTGCTTGCGTACACTACAGCGCCGGTGTACATGTTCACACCGGAGGAAACCATGTGCAACATAGCGCCTGTGTGCACCACAATGCTTGCGTGCACCGCGGCGCCTGTGCACGCCACGGCGCTTGTCTACACCATAGCATCCGCGTGCAACGCAGCGCTATTGTACACCACAGCGCCTGCCTGCGTAGGACAGGTAGAAGGAACCTGTTCGTGAGGATCTGCTGCGGAAGCGCCACGCCAGGAAAGTGCTGATAATCGAATGCGACGTTTTTCCCTCTTCCCTTCTCCTCCACTTCCACCTCTTCCTCCTCCTCCTCCTCCTCCTCCTCCTCCTCCTCCTTACCCCCTGTCGTGCGGGTTGGCGCTGCAGCGCACGTGCGCAACTCAGAGTGCACCGCAGAATGGTCGATTGAATAGGCCCATTTGGTTCTCGGACGGCCAATTTAGCTGGAGCCTCCTGGACGCAGATGGGAGGAGTTACGGTGATGCGGGCGTTGTTGGAAGGACTCGTCGATTCCCCTGGCGTTCCCTTGTCCATAAAGATTATTATCTTGTGTTTTCGGTGGAATCCACAAGCGCTCCATTTTGCCATAACGATTATTTATTACACCGTACATACAACAGTGGTGCTGTGTTGCACGCGGCTGCTGTGGTGCAGACAAGCGCCGTGGTGCACACAGGCACTGCAATGCACGCAGGCGTTGTGGTGTACACTGCTGTGTTGCACACGGCTGATGTGGCGTACGCAGGCGCTGTGGTGTACACAAGAGCTGTTGTGCCCGCGCGCGCGGTGGCACAAACTGATGCTGCGTTGCACGCGGCAGCTGTGGTGTACATAGGCGGTGTGGTGTACACAGGCGCTGTGGTGCACGCGGGCGCCGAGGTGTACACAAGCGTTGTGGTGCAGATCGCCACCTACATGCTGGTGCCACCCGTCCTCCGTCATTCCGAGGCATTCCCAAGCGCCGCCGGCGCGAAGCGTGACGTCGTCGACCCCCTCCAGCCCCCCCAGATGATTGACGTCATCGGCCCGGAATAAAAAAACTGGCTCCAGCCGCGACCGCGCGCATGACGGCGATGACCGACGAGCGACGATCCACGGGCCACGAGCCACGAGCCACAAGCCACAAGCGACGACGACGACGTCGACGACGACTGCGGACCAGACTCCCATGCGGATTCCTACGCGGACACCTACGCGGATCCCAATACGCACGGCGGCAGTGCCCGGAGCGCACTGGGGGGGGGGAGCGTTACGTCATAGGGGGGGGGGGGGCCATGACGCCTGTCATGCCCCAAGCAATAAAGAAATGGCCTCTTGGGCCCAGGGGTTTCACCTCAGTAAACTTATTCTAGTTCCAGCCCGACGCGCGCAGACCGCGCGCGGAAGGGGGATCCACCCGCTCCAGGGGGCCCCAAACAACAGAAAAACACCACATCGGTTGCATCACATAGATTGCGCAACGTAGGCTGCGCAACATCAGTTCTCCTCATTGAACATATTTAGACCCCCCGTGGACTTGACGGCGCCCTTTCGCGTGTCGCGTTATCGCGCATATTCTGCGCGCCTGCCCATCCTGACTCTGGACTCATATTATCCCTGCTGGGCCGGCATCGCCCCCTCATCTTCTGCAACACATGCAATGCGCCCACTTGCATTTTACAAATTATCAGAGATCACAGAAACTGTGCAAACCCAGAACAACACAGCGCACGCGCGCGCGTCGTCGCGCCGCACGCCGCAATCCTCCAAACATCGCGCGCCTCGCAAGGTTTTCGAAATATACCGCCCAACACATTTTCTACATTAAAAATACGCGACCGAGGGGCCCCGCGTAATTACTTAAATTCGCCGGCCCAACGGGCCAGAGGCGTGCTAAGGTCTCCGGTAACTGGTTAACAGTATCTCTAGTTCGCACGCGCGGGGCGGCCCCTGGGGGTCCCCGGACGAAAAGTACCCCGGGCGATCCCCGACCGACCCCCGGGAGACTCCCCCAGAGCGCTCCAGGAGCGCTCCAGGAGCGCAGCAACAGGGCTCCGAGACGTCCCCGAAACCCTCAAGACGGGCCCAGATGCCCCCAAGAGGCTCCCAAGATGGTACACAAGGGTTCCGAGATGCCACATGATCGCTCCAAGACGCCCAAGATGGCCCCCAGACGCCCCAAGAGGCCTCCAAGAGCACTCCCAAAAGGGCCCCAAGAAGCAAAATTCATAGTTTTTCCTTAGGTTTCTGAAAGATTTTGGAGCTTCCACCTTTTCGGCTTCCCGACGCCCCAAGACGGCCCAAGAGGCCCCCAAGATCGCCCCAAGAGGGCCCGAGAGGCCCCCAAGAGGGCCCCAAGATGGCCCAAGAGGGCTCGAAGACTGCCCAAGAAGCCTCCAAGACGGTCCAAGAGGGCCCCAAGAACGCCCCCAAGGGGGCCCCAGAGAGGGAACACGAAACAACATTTCGAGCCCTCGGCCCTGAGAAGCCCCCACGAGGCCCCAAGAGGCCCCTAAGAGGCCCCAAGAGGCCCCCACGAGGCCCTCAGGAGGCCCCCACGAGTCCCCCAAGCGGCCCCAGGAGGCCCCCCAAATGCCCCCCCGAGCGCCCCAGGAACCCCCCAAGCGGCCCCAGGAACCCCCAAAGCGCCGCATTGGCACCAGGCCCTCGGGCAAACGGCAGACATGAGACTGTATGGGCCGGCGGAATGAGCGAAGCGATTAATTAAATCTTATGCGCTGCTTATCATATCTGTCTGCGCAACCCTGCGCTCGGAACCTGCGCCGCGAATGTTCCCCCATTTGTCATCCATCACCTCATTGCTTGAACCTCCTCCCTCTTTCCCGCCTTCTATCCT